CAGATTATTAGTAAACATTACAATGCTTTCATAAGCAAAATATCTAATTTTTTATCTGAATTATAATCTACAGTTTGATATCAAACTTATTGACATAACTTCATGAAATAGTAGTTCAATAACATTTGGAATGCGAGTGAACAAATGCGATGACATGGCCTTTGACCCATCTGGAGAGGGTTAAATATAAATTTTTGTATCAATATATTTCAACATAAGTAAAATACTGTAATTTATTACAGATTCTAAGTAGTTATGAATTTACAATTCTGTTAATAGATTATGTAAAGGATGGGTTATAAAGTATGAAAAAAATTATAGGAAAACTTACTCATAAAAACTAAGTTGGTAGGCCACAATATCAGCTATGGCCTGAGTATCTGCAGCAGACCCAGAACGGCAACAGTAGATGTGATCTGTGATACGGGTCAATTTATCTGTAACCCGATTGGCAATGTAAGCCCTGGAAAACAAATATACCATTTTTAATGACCAATAATTACAACCATGAACAGATCAGTTTGTGTTTTTAGGTGGTTAAATGAATTTTATACTTGTAAACTTATCCTGTGTATTTGAATAAAAAGATTATTAATTTACTGTTACCACACAAGTTAAATTTTCAAAAATTTGGTTGAAACCAACTTCACAGAATCACCAGTTTTGTACCTAAAATAATTTGAATATTAGAGCAGCTGTCATCTATTATAATATACCTTGTAAAAACCACATTCAAATATCAATGCTTGAATATTACATCACATCTGATCACTATCATAGGCAATGAAGTGGTATAACACCCTTCAAAATTAGTAGATTTGTTACATTTAAGATTTACTTACTACATATTTTTCATAGCCTTCTGAAAAATTGTTACATCTGATCTGTTTTTTCCCGGTTGCAACAGTAACATCTAAGAATTTTTGTTTTTACTTTGAGGAGAGATAAAACTATCTAAAATTTGAGCTGTAGGACATGTCATGAATAAATTACATAAACTACAAAATAAAATTAATAATTACGTATTTCATAAGCTAGACAGCTTTAACCTACTATGAGCTAACAACTATTCATCATTATGCTTGTAGTTATAGCAGTTTTGAAAGTTATTCTCACCCTGTTGTTGTTCGTGAATCAGCTCCAATAACCACTCCTCCATCAAATTCCACAGCCATGATTGATGTCTGAAATTATTAAACAAAGGACAACTTGGTAATTTAAAACATAAATTTGGCACTGACAAATGCTTGAAACAAAATTTGCCAAATACTTTTCTAATTTCTATATGACAACAATGCAAGTACCAAAGATGCTTTACAGGTAAAACTAACACACAAGGCACCAAATGTGGTGTAAGTTTCTTAAAAATAGACAGAAAACTCTTAACTCTCACTCAGAAATTAGACACCTGCTGTAGTAGATGTGAGAAATTACTCAATTACCTATAAGCATCGATCAGGTCAAAGTGTCAAGTAAAATAATCAATTAATCAATGTCACAAAAATAGTCAACTAATCAAAAACCAGTGTTTCTAATTATTAGTTTTCCATCATTCCAACTATCCAAGAAATCAAAACATTGACATTATGATTTCTTTGCATTATTACTGATTAATTCACAGTTGTTCAGCTTGAACAATTAGTGTTGAGACTCAAGAAAAAGTCTCATGTGAAAATAATCAAATAGTTAAACATAATTGATTAATGAGTCTGACAATTAATTGATTATGAAATTCCACTAATTTCCCAGCTCTATTTATTACTGAATGTTTAGAAAGAACTATATCAATATTTTGGTTTTGCTTTTAGTTTTTGATGATCACAGCAACTGGTTCTTATTAGGAAATAATTGCTTATGATTTATAAACATCAGCTTGATAAGGCAACTGCAAAACCAGTATTTGGAGAAAGCTGGTGTATGCTGTTGATGATTTATACATTTATGAAGAGTTTTGCTGTGTTTCAGTTTGGAAAAGCAAATATTTTAAAACGAGTTATCCAAGATATCCTTTGCTCTTTGCCTGATTAGTCAATACAAGGAAAACCTAGAATTTAAACAAAGTTACATTACATGTACATTAATTCTGATTCCATCATAGATAAATTGAACAGGTGTTTTGTCAGCTAGAAAATAAGATCTACATACCTTAACATTTTTGTATTCAAAAATGTACCTAAAATTACACTATTTTAGCCAATAGACAATGTTGTTCTCTCCAATTAATAATTATCTATTAAACTCCAACTGGATTAATATGCCCAGTTTTGAACTATAAAAAGGACATCAATCACAAGGAATGCAGAGGACTTATAATTTTCTTATACTGAAAATATATTTCCGATAGTTACTTACCTCCAATCACATAAATAGCTATTCTTGTTCAGTTCTGCCCTCTATATGCAAACTTTTTTTTGTATGCCACAAGCCTTAAGCTTCCATGTACCCTACATTTAATATGATTCAACTGCATCTCGCATGTAAATCATCATGCAACAACCCTCCACCAATAGGAGTATGACACAGCCTTCTGACACATGTGTCTCCCTCTAAACAGTTCTGCCGAACTATCACTGCAAGTTTTGGCAGAAAATGGAAGCACTGGTTTTCAGTGGGAAGGAAGGGTGGAAAGTGTGAGAAGAGGTAAGTATCTATCGAAAATACATTTTCAGTATAGAAAAATTATAACTTCCAATACAGTACATTACCTTCACTCACATAAATAGCTAGAATCCCACATTGAACAGGTGGAGGGACCGATGTGACAGAAAAAAAGAAGCATCCTTTGAAAACATTCAAAGAACACCCTAAAAAGAATATTTTTGCATTAGAGGATCATACGTGGGAGACCGCAACACTTTTGTACCAGGTATACTCTTTGCCCCTTGTAGAAAGAGGTGATACAAACATGGGTGGAGCACAACCAAAAGGGAAAGACCAATGGTTGGATAGGGATGCAAACCACACAATATCTGAATTGCAATCTCATAAATTACATGAACGTGGGTGAAAGTAAAAAGGATGTGCCCCTAGGTGTAGAGTGACTATGGCATGATGGACTGTACATGGCAAGTCAACTGCATCCAAAATCCAGCCAAAGGGAACATTCATGTGGGGGTAGGAAAGAGAATCATACTGCCAGTAAGTCAACTACAATCCAAAACCTAGCCACTGGGAATTGACATCCATGTGGGAGGAGGAAAGAGGATCATACCATCTTCACCTCAAGTTCAGCAGACCA